TGAATTTTGATTAGTACTGGAATTGCCTGTGCTGAGATGCCTTCCTACTCTGGGTTAATTTCTGTACCTTTATTTCTGTGACCAGTAGAATGTAAGCTCTTGAGGACAGGGATTTTCCTTTATGTTTTAGAACTTAGCATAGCATCTTATATGATTTTTTCTTTTCGTTTGGCTCTGTCATGTCATTAGTATATAAGGCAGTCGGCTTTTTTAATCAGTAAACAATTTTTGAACATATACCCTGAATATATGTATATTTATTTATTAAACATGTACCTGTAGATGATTCTAAGTTCATTTTACTTAGCTATTTGGTTTTAATGGCTCTCTTGGCTGAAAAAAGATAGACAGCTCAAAATGAAGAAGAATTATCACTGTGCTTATTAATCATGATACTCATTTTTCATTCCATTCACTAATTATGCAAGGGTTTTTGATGAAATTTACCCAGTAGATTCTCATATTCCCTCATATTTTTTTAACAAGTAGGTTCAAAACCCAGTGAAACTTTCTTTTTTTTCTTCTCTCTCTCTCTTTTTTTTTTTTAGTGAGGCAATTGGGGTTAAGTGACTTGCCCAAGGTCACACAGCTAGTTAAGTGTTATATGTCTGAGGCTGGATTTGAACTCAGGTACTCCTGACTTCAGGGCCTGTGCTCTATCCACTGCGCCACCTAGCTGCCCTGAAACTTTCCATTAGAAAGTTTTTAAACAGATTAGAAAATTCTGTTTCCAAGTTTAAGCATACAAAAATAATAGTTTTATAGATACATCATTTTGGGGGGAAAATCATATAACAATGGCAAAATTTCTAAATGTCTACTTTCTTTCCTTTTTTTTGGTGGAGGGAGAAGGTTGAAGGAAGAGTGTTGGATAACAACAGATAAGGCAGTAGAAGTTTGTATTATCAAGATAACAGATGAAAGTTGTATTTTCAAGGAAGGATGGTTGCAACTCAACTTAAGCATAGAATTAGAGCTAAAAAAAACCTCAAAGGTCATCTGTTTCATGCTCCTCATTTTAAAGCTGACAGAATGGAAGCCCAAGAAGATTAAACAGCCTCCTAAGTCCCAACCTCTATTTATTTTGCTTTTTTGTGAGGTAATTGGGGTTAAGTGACTTGCTCAGGATCACACAGCTAGCAAGTATCGAATGTTTGGTCTGAAATGGGATTTGAACTCAGGTCCTCCTGACTCCAGGGCCAGTGCACTATCCACTGCACTACCTAGCTGTCCCCTGATCCCCACCCTTAAATCCCACCTTCTACAGAAAGTCTTTTTCAACCTCAGTTCCGGTGCCTTCCTTCTTTGAATTACTTCCGGTTTAGTCCATACATAGCTTGCTTTATTACCTGTTTGTGTGTTATCTCCCCCATTAGACTGTAATGAGGCAGGGACAGTCTTTTGCCTCTTTTTGTATCTCCAACTCTTAGCACTGTGTCTGGCACACAGTAGGTACTTAATAAATGTTTATTGAATGAATAAATGAATAAATTTTCCCAGTCACATGTCAAATGTGAATTTGAACCTAGCTCCTCTAATTCCAAAGCCAGTGTTCTTTCCACTGTAGTGCTTTGCCTGTAATGTTTCCTATGTCCCACCTGAAGCACTGGGTAGGCATGAGTGTTTTTATGGAGAGTACATTTGGTCACCAGTACTGCTTCCTCTTCCCTGCAGGACGAGTGCTATTCCCAGGCCTTTCCTATAACATCCCAGGGTGAGGTGGTTTAGGGTGTGATCTTTTTTCCACTCTCTACCCTTTTCCCGTATTCCCTTAATCTCTATTCAAAGTTCTAGTTATATAAAATATGAATATTGGAAATATGCAGTATGAATTTCAACAATGAGACCACTTTTGGGGATTCTCAGGAATTTGTAAAGGCACTTAATAAATGTTTGTTCCCGCCCTACTCCCTGCCTCTAGCCCAAGAAAACAGAATACTTTCATTAAATAAAACATTTGGGAAATGAAATGTTTGAAGGAATTTATGGACAATATACCTAGACTTCTGTCCTTTCCCTTGTGAAATGGGCTTAAGCTCTTTAATAACAGGGCACCAAGGACTATCATAGGGTCACAAAAGCAATCACAGAAACTCAGAATTGGAAGGGAGCTCATCCGCTGAAATAGATACATGAAAGACCACTGCAACTTTCCTGGTCTGTGATCTCTGTGCTCACACAAAGATCTCCAGTGATAAGAAACCTACCACCTCCTCAGACCACCTCTCTGTTCTGCTTTGGGGTAACTCTAATTGTTAAAAAGTTTTTCCTTACAAGCAATCTAAATCTTTCTCTATGAAATTTAATTCCTCCCCCAAAAAGCAAGCATAATAAATGAATTCCTCTTTCACATGACAACCTGAAAAACACTTGAGGACAGCTGTCACGATCCCCCTTGTCCTCCTCCACTTTGCCAAAGAAAACAATTGCTTTTGTATGAATGATCACATCTATCATAATGGCTAATTAAGCACCCACAGGTTAAGACCCCAGGGGCTGGCAACCTTTGCCAGTGCCTGCCCTCCCGGTTTTGCTCTTGGTTCATAGCTCTGGGGTTGCCTCTATCTCCTCAGTAGGGAAGCCAGATCCTCCTCCCCTGTGCTCCAGTTCCATCCCCTTGTCAGAATCCAGAGGCACAATTCAAATTTTGGCTCTACTTTAAAAGGGAAGAGGGGAGTAAAACTGCCCAGAGTAAAAACACGAATCAGGTTTACAATAGGCAGTTTTATTCCCACACGCAAAAAAGGGAAGTCAAAGCAATAAAGAACCATTGAATAATTATGATCAGTTGAGAAGCTAATAATACACGTCTTGTTGGGGCATTTGCAAATAACTCCTTCATCAGAGTTGCATATTAACTATTTAATATTTGTAAACAACTTCTTTACAAGAGCAGTTTATTAGCTATTTAACATTTCATCTCCAATGACCACAGCCTGATCAATACTCAAAGGGCTCTTTCTTTCTCGGTGGCCACCAGGCTCCCCAGCGCTCCAATTGCACTCAAACCTCAAATTCCTGAGGAACAATTCTATTTTTGTCTCCAATTTAAGGGGTCCTTAGGGAGCAGAAGGAGTTGAAAAGGGTACCCAGAGCACAAACTTGAATCAGGTATGGAACAAACACCCTCTTCCCTCCCAGCTGCTTCTGCCAAGATTGCTACTGCAACTACTCCATTAAATAAGGACACCCTGAGGCCCTTATTAAAGGAAAGAAGACACAAGCTGGAGGTGGCCCCATCTGACAAACAGGTTTGCCTAGGAAGCCATTAATTTGCTGTTCCCCTTTCTGGTCCCTTAGGAGCTCAGTGCCTCTTCCTGATAGGAAGAAAAGGGGAGGAACTGCCTCTCTTTTTTTGTTTTTAATTAATCTTTAAAATATATTTTTATTTTGTCAAATGTGTCCCAACTACACTTTAAAAGTTTTTTTTAATTTTTAAATTCATTTTTAATTTTTAAAAATTGAATTTCAAATTCTCTCCCTCCTACCTTTACCTCATCCATCTCAGCCCTTGAGAAGGCAAGCAATATATTGATTTTATGACATGCAAAAAATTTCCGTAATAATCATGTTGCAAAAGAAAACACACACAAAAAAACCCCACAAGAGGAATAAAGAAAGTGGAAAAAGTATAGTCTGCACTCACAGTTCATCAGTTCTCTCTCTGGATGGATAGAATTTGTCATTGTGAGTGCTTCAGAACTGTCTTGGATCATTGTCTCAATCAGAGTAGCAAAGTCTTTCACAGTTAATCATCATTAGAATATTGCTATTACTTGCATAATGTTCTTCTGGTTCTGCTCATTTCACTTTGTATCAATTCATATAAGTCTTCCTAGGTTTTCTGAAACTATCTTTCTCTCCATTTCTTATAGCACAATAGCAAAGAATTGCCTCTTTAGTATACCCATGGAGTTCTGACTCAACAGACAAAAGTGTTATTATATTCATTTGTTGTTCACTCATTTTTCAGTCCTGTCTGACTCTGTGAGCCAATTTGGGGTTTTCTTGGCAAAGATACTGGAGTGGTTTGTCATTTCCTTCTCCAGCTCATTTCACAGATGAGGAAACTGAGGCAAACAGGGCTGCCCAGAGTCACACAGCTAGTAGGTATCTGAGGTTGGATTTGAACTCAGGAAAACTCCAGACCTGGCATTCTATCCACTGAGCCACCTAGCAGCTAGCAGGCTGATAGGAAATAGTTAAGAGATAGCGAGGCCTGCTCAGAAATGGATATGGGGAAGGGTCACCCCCTTCATGCATCCCCAAGGAAGTGTTACAGATATACAGCTGTAATGAGGAGTACCAACCTCTTTCTCCCTCAGGGTAGGTGCCCCTTTTGTAGCTCATTTGGGAAGCAGCCTCTTGGTAATTTGAATCACTCAGGCCAGCTGATCCAGAGGAAGAAGGAGAATTGAAAGGCAATGGGGGAGAAAATGTAAGTGGCCCCTCTGAATTCCAAGGCTCAATGTGAAGTTCTGACAAGAACAAGAGACCATCCAGTCATCTAAACAGTGCAAAAAAGTAACATTATCATGGATCTACAAGAGACCTTTTGCATGAGTGAGAATGAAAACTGTGGGACCCTCAGTGAACAAAAGGTTTAAAAAGAATGGTGGTCCTCTAACCCAGATGTGGGTTTTGAAGTGTAAACACTGAAACTCCAAAGTGGTCTTTCCATAGACCCAACCACCAGAAAGCTGGTCCTCTGGGAAAGTGGATGGCATCCATTTGCCGATGAGCAATAGAATTAAGCTGAGTTACACAGGAAGTGGAGAACAGCAGGGATGCATGAGACCTGAGCTGCAGCCATATCATCTGTGGTTGAAAAGTACATTCATAAATGGTTTGCATGATTTTGCATGTATAATTGATATCATATTGTTTGCCTTCTCTGGGCAGGGGAGGAGTTAGGAGGAGGGAGACAATTTCAAATTCAAAATTTAAAAAGAATACTAAAAATTATATATCTTTTTAAAAAAAGTACATTCACACGTTTGCTCATTTGATCCTCATAATGACTCACAAATTATTATCCCTATTTCACAGGTAAAATATGCTAATTATGTCCATTTTTGACACATGGTAGGGTACATGTTTGCAGATGGCAAACCTCCCATCCTGATTCTAATTTGCAGAAGATGGCAAATGTTGGGCAGGATGTAAAGTACTGTGCTCTTTTGTTCTGTAGACATTCTGATTGCTGAAAAGGACAGAAAAAGAACATTAGTTCAGCTTGAGAAGAAACAAAGAACCTGATATAGAGAGGCTTGAGGAGACAGACAAGACTGTTCTGAGGACTTAAGAGAAAAGTAGCCCCCCAATAAATGTGTTGAGAGGTCCTATATCTTCAGGCAGAGCTGAAGACGGATGAGGGCCAGTGTGGTTCATCGGCTCATTTACTGGGGTATTCTCAGCATTTTGAGGGCTATAGCTGAGAAATTACATAAACAAATAACTGTTTGGGAATTATGAGTATTATATAAGGACTGTCTGGAATTGGATCAAACATGATGGAAAAGGTGCATTTCTTAAGTTTCACGTCACTAGTTAGAGATAGTTAACTAGTTATGAAGAAGTACTGCTTTCAGTATGGAATCACTGGGGTCCAGACAGACTCTGCTGGTTAGTAGGAGAGGCCTTGCTGCCCTGAGAGGTGATCAGCTGCAGAAAGGCTGAGAGAGCTGACTGAAGGCAGAGGAGATGCCACAGCTGGAAGCTCACTGGAGGAGACCAGAATCCGGCTTCTGTGTCATCCTGTTGCCCTTTCAGCATCATTGACAGCCTGAAGGAAGGGAACTTTTCCAAGGTGTCTGGGTTGCCCTTTACTGCCCTTTCTTGCTTAGGAGAGACAGAAAGAGAAAGGCAAAGACTTTATTTACAGATGTTTTGAGCTACGCTGATATATTTTGTGAAAACAAGTGTAATACATTAGAAGCATCTTGCTTAAGGGTGGCTGTATTCTTAAATAGGCTTACGGTGGCTTCAGTGGAAGGGTAACTATCCCCCCCATCCCTGCTTTCCACGTCTGTAACTATAATGTTGTTGGGCACTTAGGTGGTTCAGTAGAGAGAGTGCCAGGCGTGCAATCAGGAAGACTCATCTTCCTGAGTTCAAATCTGGCCTTGGACACTTACTAGCTGCGTGACCCTGGGCAAGTCACTTAACCCTGTTTGCCTTAATTTCCTCATCTGTAAAATGAGCAGGAAGAGGAAATGGCAAACCACTCCAGTATTTTTGCCAAGAAAACCCCAAATAGGGTCACAAAGAGTTGGACAGGACTAAACAAATGTTACCCTTGGAAAATGTGTTAATCTACTCCCCTGTGGCTCTACTCGATTTACCTGTAACTTCCCAACCCAAAATGCCCCTCTCTCATGTTAGAATATGAACTCTTTGCAGGCAGGGACTGTCCTGTCTTTCGTTTGTATCGCTAGCACTTAGGAAAGTGGTTGACTTATAGGAAGCAGGCCCAAAGTAAATGCTTTTTTTGTTCACCAAGTCCTTCTTTCATTTATTCATTCAGAAGATCTGGAGAACCACCAATCACTATACCACTCACATTTTCACTTTACTTTGACACTTTAGTATTTATTTATTGGCAAGACACTGGGGGCTAAGTGACTTATCCAGGGTCACAGAGCTAGTGTCAAGTGTCTGAGGTTGGATTTGAACTCAGGGCCTCCTGATTCCAGGACCCCTGGACTATCCACTACTCCCACATCTAGCTACCCCTACTTGGATACTTTAAAAGATCATTGATTCCCATTTATTTCATCCCTATCAGCAAGGATAAAATATCCTCTTATGTGACTCTAGTCTGGGCTTTTCCTTTCTTACTCTTACCAATAAGTACAACAGTGCTATACAAACGTACTAAGCTGTGCACCTAATAAATCAGGTGCAAATTATATTTTTAATATAGTAAATCATTCCCAATGCACCAAGGGATATTTGGAGAGCCCAGCAGGGAAAGCATTTTGTAATAATAGCTGACATTTGCACATGCTTTAAGATTTGCCTGAGGGATACATATACATACACCCATACACATACAGGAAGGTCCAAGTTCTTTAAAAGTAGAAGAATTAGGGTGTGATTATTCCCCAAGAAGAGTCAGGGAGACCAGAGTTTGAATTCTGCCTCAGATACTTTACCTGTTGCGTGGCCCTGGACAAGTCACTTAACTGCTCTCAGTCTCATTTTGCTTATATGGAAAATAGGGTGTTAGGGAAAACATGGCTCTTATGAGATAATGCATGTACATATATAAAAACAGATTTTGTACATATAATCTATTATTACACATATATCACATATATGTAGACCATACACAATTTTATATGTGTATTGTTAACGACTGTTAAGGGGCCCCCGGAAATGTAATAATGGACAGATTACAGACGATCTAGTATTGCACATATCATGCATACATGCATATTACACACATGTAATACATACAGATTATGTTCACATATGTGTAATACATATATGTAATAGATAATAGATCCTCATAAGAGCCCTGGGAAGTAGGTGCTAATAACCCCATTTTCCATGAGTTAAAACGACTCAGAGTTAGGTGATTCTACCCAGGAACACACAGCAGGGAAAGTGTCTGAGATAGAATTCAAACCCAGATCTCCCTGGCTCTTCTCAGGGAATAATCACACCCTAATTCTTTTACTTTTAAAAAACGTGAGGGCAGCTAGGTGGCGCAGTGGATGGAGCACCGACGCCTGGAGTCAGGATCGCTGGCTGTGTGACCCAGGGCAACTCACTTAACACCCCCCCCCATAAAAACAAAGAAAAAAAAACTTGGGCCTTCATACATTTAAGTTTCTTCTTGTTGTTTTTGGTTGGGCAGTGGGGGAGAAACTGACCAAGATATTTCCCCCCATTTTCTGCTTTCCTTCTAATCTTGGCTACATTGGTTTTCTTCGTAAAGCAGGTGCTTAATAACTGTCTGATTCATTTAACCAATTATCTAATTTAATTTACGCCAGTGTGAAGACAGTGTGGTGCACGGGAGAGAGAACGCTGGACTCAGCCAAAGGACTCGGTTTCCACGCCTGGCTCTGATGCCTGGGTAACCATGGGTCTGAAATTCTCCGGGGCCTCAGTTTCCTTCTCTGTAAAATGAGCGCGCAGCACTGGTCTCATCTCAAATATATAGAGAACTTTGTGAAATTTACAAGAATATGAGTCATTCCCTAATTGATAAAAGGTCCAAGGATACAAACAGGCAGTTTCTGGATGAAGAAATCAAAGCTGTGCTGTAGGCATAGGTGGAAACAATGCTCTAAATCATTATTGAATAGAGAAATGTAAATTAAAGCAAGAGAAATGTAAAATAAAATCTATTTTTATATATATACACACACACACATCATCTCATTCGATCCTCCTAAGAGCCATGTTTTCCCTAACACCCTATTTTCCATAAAAGTAAAATGAGGCTGAGGGCAGTTAAGTGACTTATCCAGGGCCACACAACAGGTAAAGTGCCCAGGGTCACACAGCTAGTATTATGTGTCTGAGGCTGAATTTGAACTCAGGTCCTCCTGAATCCAGGGTCGGTGCTCTAACCACTGCACCACTTGGCTGCCCCGTATACATTTAAGTTTCTTAAAGGGAGTTACTATAAGAGATCCCCAGAACCTCTCTCCCAGGAAAAAAAAAAAAAAACACCCACACCCATAATTAAATTAATTACTCCCATTCTTCTACCACCCCGGCGGATTGGGAGAATTCATCCATATTTGGGACTCTTTCTTCCCTGCGGAAAAGGCTGGTCCCACCCCATGCAGCGCCACCTCCTCCGACCAATGGCGGCCCAGCGCTCGCTCCTCTGCGCAACACTCACCCACGATTCCTTTACGTCACTAGAGGCTGTCGTTCGGCCCCGTTGCGCAAGCGCAGCTTGAAATCCCAATAATCCTCCTAACGCTGCGCGTCGTGATAAAGTTGGAGAGGGGGAAGGGTGGCCTGTACGTTTGCGCGTGCGCAGGGCATTTCATTCGTTGAACTTCCCGATTGTGCTTGCTTCCGGCGCTGGCGGCGAAGCAGTTCCGGGTCGGAGGATACGCTTCCGGAAGGCGGGAGGCTTGGAAGGCGGTTCGCGGGTGCTGAAATCTACCTGAACCGTAGCCTTGCGGTATCTGTGGCAACCATGGAAAATGCGTGAGTGCGGGTGTCTGGGGAGCGGGGTTAGGATCTTCCCCTCCCGGGTTAGTGTCACCTCGGGGGGAGGGTTGGTGTAGATCCTGGGCCAACGGCTCATAGATTTAGAGCTCCAGTCCTGCGCGCTCATTTTACAAAGAAGGAAACTGAGGCCCCGGAGGGTTTCAGACCCATGGTTACCCAGGCATCAGAGCCAGGCGTGGAAACGAGTCCTTTGGCTGAGTCCAGCGTTCTCTCTCCCGTGCACCACACTGTCGTTCACACTGGCGTAAATTAAATTAGATAATTGGTTAAATGAATCAGACAGTTATTAAGCACCTGCTTTACGAAGAAAACCAATGTAGCCAAGATTAGAAGGAAAGCAGAAAATTGGGGGGGGAAATATCTTGGTCAGTTTCTCAGATAAAGGTCTCATCTCGAATATATAGAGAACTTTGTGAAATTTACAAGAATATGAGTCATTCCCTAATTGATAAAAGGTCCAAGGATACAAACAGGCAGTTTCTGGATGAAGAAATCAAAGCTGTGCTGTAGGCATAGGTGGAAACAATGCTCTAAATCATTATTGAATAGAGAAATGTAAAATAAAATCTATTTTTTCGTGTATATATATATATATATATATATATATATATACATCAATCATCTCATTCGATTCTCCTAAGAGCCATGTTTTCCCTAACACCCTATTTTCCATATAAGTAAAATGAGGCTGAGAGCAGTTAAGTGACTTGTCCAGGGCTACACAACAGGTAAAGTGTCTGAGGCAGAATTTCACACCCTAATTCTTGTACTTTTAAATATTTCACATCTATCAGATTAGCTAAAATGATAGAAGGGGAAAATGACATGTTGGACGGGATGGGGAAAAAATTGGGACCCCTAATGCATTGTTGGTGGAACTGCGAACTGTTGATCCAACATTTGGAAGAGCTGTGTTTCAAGGTGACTAGGGGAAAAGGAAAAGAACCTATATGTTCTAAAATATTTATGGCAGCTTTCTTTGTGGTAGCAAAGAACTGGAAGTTAAAGGGATGCCCATCAATTGGGGAGTTGCTAAACCAGCTGTAGCATATGATTGTGATGGAATACTGCTGTGCTAAGAAATGATGAGCTGGGTTATTTTAGGGAAAAAACATGGAAAGACTTGAAATAATTAATAGTGAAATGAGCAGAACCAAGAGAATGTTACATACAGTAACAGCAATATTATTTGAAAAATAACTGTGAACAACTAAGCTATTCCCAGTATTATAAATATTCAAATCAACTACAAAGGACCTATGAAGGAAGCTGCTTTCCACCTCCAGGGAAAGATCTGATAAATAGTATTATGCCATATGCAGAGTATGGTTTTATATGTGTATCTACATATTTCATTTATCTGTGTCAAATGGAGGTCTTCTCTAGTACCTCCCCAAGAGAATAAGCAGTTTGATATAGGTTATTTGTGCATGTGCAGTCATGCAAAACATATTCTGTATTAGTCATATTGTGAAAGAAAACACAGATTCCCCCCCCAAAAAAAAACCAACTCATGAATAAAATGATTGAAATAAAATAAGCTCTGATTTTTATTCAGACTCTATCAGTTCTATCTCTGGAGGTGGATAGCATTTTTCTTCATGAGTCCTTTGGAACTTTTTTGGATCGTTGTATTGCTGAGAAGAGCACAGTCATTTAATAGTTGATCATCATACAATATTGCTGTTACTCTATACAAAGTTTAGAGAAGGCCTCTTGATGGGAATTTTAGTAGAGATGGGTAAGATTTCAACAGTTCAACAGCTGGTATTCCCAAAACACCAGTTGCAGTTGTCATCTTTTATTCAATGAATAAATGAATGAATGAATGAATGAATGAAACATTTAACAAGCACTTAGACAACACATAGAGAAGGTTTCAGTTGTAAGTTGATTGGAAAAGTCCCATGTCATTTCTACTGCTAAAATCACGTAAGTTTCTGGTGTTGAACAGTTTGACAATGCCAAGGACTTTGGGGACAAGAACGTTTCTTCCTGTGTCTTCAATAGTTGTGCCTCGTAGTACCTGCGGAAGCAGTTGCCCAGCAATACTTCTACTCAAGGAGTAAAACAAATGAATGTTCTCTTTCACTCTATTTCTTTACTCTTCCATTCTTTTGGAGATCCTACTTATGTTTCCTATTCGTTTCATCTGTCTTTACCTCCCACCTCCTATGTGCTAAGCTCCATGGGGTATGGAGACATGGTATGGTGATAACTAGGTGGTGTCCTGGAGGCGTGATTCCAAGCAAGATGAGGTGAAGAAAGACTTATTAGAGCCCAGGATCCTAGGAACAAAGTCCATGGTTCCTGTGGAGGTGAGATGGAGATAATAGTAATTTTGGCAAGGAGAAGGTCACTGGTGTTTTGTGGATAAATCAGGAAATGCCTTTTCTAGGTAGGACTTAGTGCTAGAGCTAAACATTGAAGGTGATTTGAGATTCCAAGACAATGTGAGAGTGCCCAACTTCCACAGACTATAAGGTACTACATGTTGAACGATCTAACACTGCGTCTTTCATGCAGCAGGCACTCACCAAATGTTTGTTCTATTACTTGAGAGATCACTGAGTATTGAAGTTGTCAAAGAACGTTCCACAAAGGGAGGAGTTTTGAGTTGGGCTTTAAAGACTAATTAGACCCTGGAGAGGGGAAAGAATTCAAGGGGCCCAAGATGAGTTCCTTTTGAATGTTATAGGTTGGGAAATGAGCCCACATTCCTTGGACAGTGAAAAAAGAAGATTACTCCAGTTTGAATACTCCCCTGAAACAAAAGTTTGAAGAGCACTTTATTGTCTTAATATTGACATTGTCTTATTTACACAATTTCAGGAATGGCTTTGGGGAGATGCCTTCTCCTGTTGTCCGAGATGTGGAGGTGACACGGACAGCTCGAAGACAAAGTGCAAACAAAAGAGTATCTAGTATCCTTTCCTCTTTAAATGTTGGTACAAAAATAACAATTTGTATTTGTGCTCAGGGCTGTAATTCACTTTTCTCGAAGGTCACCATCGATTTCCTAATGACCAATTCCTGTGGCCTCATTTCCCCCTTCTCATTTCTCAGCTTTGATTGCTCTGAAGGTGTTAGTACTGCTGACGATACCCTTCTTCTTTATAGTCTCTCCTTCCTTGTCTTTAGAGACATCATAGTTGGCTGGTTTTCCTGCCTCCTCTATCTCCTTTTATATCTCCATCTTCTTCCTGTGCCCTTGATGTGAGTCTTCCCAAAGGTTCTACCATTGGCTCCTTTGTCTTTCTCTGTATCATCTCTTTTGGCAACCTTTAGTCTCAAGGCTTCAGCTAAAACCTTTGTATAGAAGAGTGTTCATCAGTTTTTTTAACATCTTGATAACTATTTAATATAATTGGTTTCCTTTGTAATCCTTTTATATTCGTTATATAATGCATATAAAATGTATATAATGAAAGGCTCCATAGGCTTCAGTAGAGTACCAAAGAGGTCTATGACACATAAAAGTTGAAGAACCCCAGATGTAGGGGATTCTCTTCAATTCTCTTCAGTGTATCTTCGACCTTGACTTTTCTCCTTTGCTCCAGACTCACATATCCAGGGGCCTTCAAGACAGCTCTGCCTGATGTCCCACCGAGGCTTCAAACTCAGCGTATCTAAGTCAACTTGTTACCTGACTTTGATCTGGAAGCTGCGGATTTGGCCTTTGACATTCCTGGGAGTTTTCCCTCTAGAGTTTCTTTCAGGAGGGGACTGTTGGATTCTTTCTGTTTTCACTTTGTTCTCAGGTTCTAAGACATCTGGACAGTTTTCATTTATGATTTCTTGAAATATAGACTATCCAAGCTTTTTTTTTTAGTGGAAGGATGTAGATTGTGATTTCCAGGTAGTCCAGTGATTCTTACATTATCTTTTTGCCTCATTTTCCAGTCAGTTGTTTTTGATATTTTAGTCCTCCTGTTTTTTCCGTCGTTCGGTTTTATTTTAATGTTTCTTGTCTCATTGAGCAGTTCCTTCCCGTTTGGTCCATTCAGTTCTTGGGTAAGGTATTAACTTTCCTTGGCATTCTTTCCTCTGTAGCATTTCCATTTTATATCTCCTGCTTTGTTTCTACGAAGCACTCATTTAGTCCTTCTGACCTGAATATTTTTTCTCTAAGATTCCACTTGGACTTGTGAAATTATTCTCTTCTGCTAGGTTAACCCCTTTGATTTCTCTTGGTCTAAGGTATTCATTGTGTTTGGCATTTTCTTCCATTTACTCCTATCTCCAGCCTCAGTTTCGCAGCTGGGGACTTGTGTTGGGTGAGATTCCACTTTTATTGATCTAATTGACATGAGCGAGTCTCCTTGGTCCCGAATGTGGTGTTGGTGAAAGGAGGCTCTACCTTTTTCGGGAAAATCTGACCTTGACTCCTCCTCTGGTTCAGGCCCAGGCTTCCTCAAGTGTTGGTTTGCAGCTGCCTAAATGCTGGGGCAGGCCTGTGTTTCCTGGATGTTGCTCCAGCCGTGTCTTCTCTGGGGCTAACCTATGTTGGGCTTTGCTCAGGGTTTTTTTTCTGCCCCATGCTCTAGGACCACCCCAGTGTCTGGTTTGTTATTATCTTAGCCAGTATACCTTTTCAAACCTGTTCCTCCTTCTGACTTTTAGTACCCCTGTTCATTCAGTTTCCCATGTTTG